ACAACAGTTGCAAAGCTGCTTTCTCTGCTGAACGCAGCCATTGATTCTATAATGAATCGGTAATCGGTAGTCCTAAGTCTTATTGGTGAATCGGTGAAGTTGGCCAACAATTAACTTGTACGACTAAGACTATCGATTTTCTTAAGCTTGACCAAATTCGACTTTATTCTTTCCCATTAGTCGAATTAAACAACTCGTTATACAACTAACTAGTAGATGCGAAAAATCATAGTCACTTATTCAGGTTAAAACTGTAATTTTAAGATATAAAAGATTGCAACAAGGCCGTGATAGAGATGTGATACATAGATAAAATTATAAGATAACAGAGGATAAAGTGATAAGAAATAAAAAATACTAAGAAAATACATGTATGATAACACACGGTTGAGGAATGAACGTGGAATGAAAGTGTGAATGAGTTAAGTTTTTTCTGTAAACCAAGCCCTCTTCTTGGCTGTATATGCTGAAGTGTAAATAAAATTCTATTTAGGTTAAAACTGGTTAATACGCATTCAACAATAAGCCATTAGTCATAAATCAGAAGTTAGAAGCTGGAAATTGATCAATTACAGTCGTCAATTTCTAGCTTCTAACTTCTGATTTATGACTAATGGCTTATTGTAGAATGGCCATAAGATTTAAAATTACCGACTACCGACTCATTGTATCAACTTTAAGGCTTAAAACTCTATTGTAGATCCGGGGTTAATCTCTTTCGACTTATGGTTTAAGGCTTCTTAAAGCAAGGTTGTGGACCTAATCTAATAATTTTCATAATTTAATTTTTTCTCTTTGCCAACATTTAGGGGGGAAAGAGGCAAATGTTGTCCCTTTTGTATACGCCTGTCATTTGTGCCCGTATTCATAGTCAGACCTTATATTTAAGGAAAAATTAAATTTATCTTTAGATGCTCAGTAGCCAATGAAATAATTCGTAGAGCATCTGAAGATAAATTTAAGGAAGCCTTAAATATAAGGCCTGACTATGAATACGGGCCTTGGAGTTTTAAAAAAATGTTTTAAAAAAACAAATTGATATCAAGAGTGTGTCGGGAGCAAGCTATCAATGTTATTCTATCCTTGTTTTACATGTAATGAACGATAAACGATGGAACATAACATAATAACGCCAACATGCTCCCCGAATGTGCTTCAAGCCGACACCATTATGTCAGTTCGCTGCTTGTTGCACTCTTTGCACTCAGCATCTTCGCTTTCTCTCCCTTCAATGTTCGAATATATATTTATCCTCCTTTTAAGTGCAAACATTTTTCGGAATTTCAAGTAACGCGAATAGACTTAATGTGACGGCACGTGGCGCCTAAAATCCAAGCCGCAGTAAAAGTATCGACGCCCAAATGGAGTCAACGGCACGCGTCGCGAGCTTTCATTGTGCACGAAAAATCACATCGTGTGCAGTTGACTCGAAAAGTATGAAAAAAAGTATGAAAAAAAAAAAGAAATTGCCATAAGGAGGAGCCGTTTGCAGGATAGTTAGCAACACCGATTTGCCATCAAATCGTTCTGCAGACTGAAAGCACCTCAAATTATCATCTCACCTCGAAACCGGCGAGGAAGATAATTTTTGAGAATGAAATAATACGTGCCGCATTGTGGAATGCGTGCTCACGCGCACAGATTACGATGAGATTCGAACAAGTGCAACGTGTCTTGGCGCTGTGACGGGATTGGGAAAAGAAAAAAGGAGCAAGTGGATACTTGCCCTCATCGGTGATGTCGTCAACGAAGCCTTCCGGATCGCTGAAGTTGGGCTCCTCATCTTCATTCATCGGATCGTCGTTGCCCTTGGCGGTCTCGTCGTTCTGTGCTGTTTTCTCTGCCTGCGTTTTCTTCGCCATCTTGGAAACCTCTGAGCATATTCCTCTGCTCGCGTCCGTGCCGCTGCCGCTAGCTGCCGCACCAGTCAGCTCAGTGTTCCGATCGGTGCTCCCTTTCTGGCGCATGCGCGTCAAGAACAGTATCAGTGCAGTATCTAGCACGGACGAAAAGATATGGTATGTCCCCCATCAAATTACCCACAACTGAAAATGTGATATACAGGGGTGCGTTCCAAAACTCGACTCTATCAACTCCGAGTATCTTTTATCCTTGTTCAACATTCGGTGAAGAACAAGGATAAATGATACTCGGAGTTGATAGAGTCGAGTTTTGGAACGCACCCCAGGATGGGCCAAAAGTCTGGGTACACCCAAATATTTCATAAACGATACATTTTAGAAAAAAATGTTTCAAACAAAAGTTGTAAAGCTTAAAAAGACGCATTTAACTGTAGTAGTTATTTGACCTAGAATGGCGTTGTCAAGGTCACGTCAAGGTCAACTTAATTTTTTTAAATGGAACCCCCTATTTTTTATTTGAGATTCTTGTAGGTTATGTTTTCAAAACACATATCATAAACTCTTTTCCGATGAGAACTTCCTGAGTTATGAGTCTTTAAAGTTTAAATACCGCCGGTATTAGAATTATCCAAGCTGTACCGCGTGGAGGTTGCTCGGTCGGATTTACATCTCTTGTGTGTGTGTACGTGTGTGCGTGTGCGTGTGTGACGCAGTCAGGACCCTAGAGTTCGTCACTCCTCTAATATTTTTTGACTCCAACCCTCTCCGTTACACGTGTATGTGTATTTGTTTGCGCGTGTGTGCACATTATGATATGTGTTTTGAAAATGTCTTAACATAACCTACAAGAATCTCAAATAAAAAGTAGGGAGTTCCATTTAAAAAAATTAAGTTGACCTTGACAACGTTATTCTAGATCAAATAACTACTATCGTTAAATGCGTCTTTTTAAGCTTTACAACTTTTGTTTGAAACATTTTTTCTAAAATGTATCGTTTATGAAATATTTGGGTGTATCCAGACTTTTGGCCCACCCTGTATGTATATATTTTTTTTCTAAGGAGTTTATAAAGAAAAGTTAAAACGCATGCAAAACTATTGATCCTGAGATCCAGTGGTGAAAGCCTCCTCGGGAAGCATTTGAATTGAGTACGTTGATTCGCCAAGACTTGCGCCCATCACACTACACCACTAACGGTTAACGCCACTGTCGCCACTGTCTTTTTTGCATCAATGCGCATGCGCCAGAAAGGGAGCACCAATCGGAACACTGGCACCAGTGATATGATATATATATGAGCCGCTTTTTTGGCGCATGCGCGGCACATATAGTCTCAGTAACGTATCCAAATAAGTTGGAAGGTATATGTTAGTAATCACCCTTAAAACATTTTCTGAATATTTTTAAAAATTGAAAGAATATAAGAAATCGGAGATGGCGGAGCTATTTTGTATAATTACCGAATATAAGATACATACATATGCTAAATATACTGCTACACGTATGTAAATATGTATATATATGTATGCGAGGGGCACTACTTATATTTTGAGCCTTGGCAACACTAAGTGTTGTCAGGTGCTATCTGACGTTTCCACTAGAAAGTTTGACATTTTTTACCATAACCTTCTTCAGAACGTTTTGTTATTTGAGCGCGATTTATATTGTTTACAGTCACTTGAAAATTGTGTCTCAGCTAAAAAATGGAATTAACTCGTGAAAATTTTCGTGCAATGATTTATTACGACTTTCGATGTGGATTATCAAGACAGGATTGCATCAACTTACTTCCACTTTTGGCGATAAAGCCCCATCCTTTGCCACTGTGAAACGCTGGTATAACGAATTTAATCGTGGTCGCCGTTCGCTCACCGACGAAAGTCGTGAAGGTCGTCCAAAATCAGTTGTTGTGTCAGAAAACATTGATACTGTGCAAAAACTAATAATGCAAGATCGTCATGTGACATACTGTGAGATTGAGACAACCTTAGGCATTAGTTCCACCAGCATATATAAAATATTGCATGATCATTTAGCCGTGAAAAAGGTTTGTTCTCGTTGGATCCCACATAATCTGACAAAATCTCAAAAAGATGCTCGTGTCGATTGGTGCAAACAAGTGGTTCGAACGCATGCAAAAGTGTATAGATCATAAAGGAGAATATTTTGAAAAACAATAAAGTCATTTTCAATGACAAATTACTGTTTTTTTATTATTAGGCTCAAAATATAAATAGTGCCCCTCGTATACATGTGTACCCACATACACACGCCACACACACATATATACGTATAAGGACGCACATCATGAATTTAATAAAAATCACATATGAATTTAGTAAAAATAATATATTTAATACAAATTTTACGCTACAATTAAGCTGAAAGAGGAGAAAACAACAATAATTTTTCAAATATATTATATCAACATAAAATAAAATATTATTTAACTTTGGAGAAATATTACATATAGTATCAACATTTGTTAATTTTTTAATAGTTCCTTTTGCAATATTAGAATCCATTATATACATATAAATTAAATTGATACTCTTATCGATCTCCTTAACTTCCTGAATATTAAGCCCATCAAAATAAAACTTTTGCATCCAATATACGACGTGACATACGTCGTTGGTTCCATAGCTCCACCGACGCGCATGCGCTAGAAAAGCGGCTCGTATACTGTCACTGTGCCGCACCGCAGCAAAAATTAAAATGGCAGCTATCTGCTTAGGGTGAAATCACACGGTGCGGAAAAAACTGCGGAATAGAGAATGCGTCATTGGGTGCATTGAGTGCATCCAGAAACACGACCGCTCATTGAGCTAGTGAGCTCTTATACCTGTTTGGTCTATATTTTTAGCTCTAACGGAATATGCCAATAAAATGCAAGCGCTCAATGAGCTCTTTTAGTAAAAACCGTTTTAGTTAAAATCAGTGTTGGTGCCTGTTTACACGATCAGGCGTATTTTACCTCCACCAAAAATAAAGTAGCTTTATATAACCTGATACAGAACCTGAGACAAAATATCCTTTATTTCTTAACCTTAACGTCTAAAGTTGGTAACATCGAATTTTGAAACATTAAACCGATTGAAGACCGTTTACACGACTTTCGTAAAACGGTTTAGTAATGCCAAACCTGTTTCAAAAGAGGTTTGGATTTACTAAAACGGTTTTAATAACATCTGTATTAAAAGACGTTTACAGGACATCTAAAACGGTTTTTATTAAAACGGTTTTACCAATGCGTAAAAATCATCGTGAAAGTATTGGTACGTGTATTAAGTTTGATGCGCACCAATGCTTTAGTACGGTGCGTTTACATCGAACATACATAAAGCATAAGGCCGGAATCAGACTAGGCATTAAAGATTGAGATTGAAGATTGAAAGATTGAAATTTGACCAATCAAAACAATAGGAACCAAAATTCCTTTGCCCTCATTGGTCAAATTTCAATCTTCAATCTTCGATCTCAATCTTCAATGCGTAGTCTGATTCCGGCCTAAGTGTGCATCAAATTTAATACGCGTACTATATTTTCATGATGTAGAGGAGAAAAATAATACATTATAATATAATATATTTTGAGAAAATGCATAATATTGCACAAGAAAGTTTTGTCAAATTTTTTATATTTAAAAATTTACAATGTATTCGCAGAAGACGCATGATGGACATGATAAAAGCAAGGCGCCAAGCCTTATTCCGACGTTTACTAAGGTTATGTTCGGAGCAAAAATATAATTTAATTTTTATGTGGAAATTTATTAGTAATCCAATATCTCCTCATTTTATAACGAAGGGCATACAATATAAAAGAACATGGATGAAAAAAAGAAGTTACGAATTTTAGGACTCAATTGTGTTAAATCATTATACTGAATCGGAATGGCTCAAAAGTTTCCGAATGTCAAAAATGAGTTTCTTGACATTGTGTGATTTAATCAAAGATGAGCTACAACCCAAAGTGCAAATTTTAAAAGCTAGGGAGCTTGTATCTGTAGAAAAACAAATTGCTGTAGCTCTATATATAAACTTGTTAGTTGTTCTGAATACAGAGTAGTTGGGAATACATTTGGGATATATAAGTCGACAGTGAAGAAATGCTTCTACAATGTTATAAAAGCAATTAATAAAATTATGGCTTTTACACCGTTAAATATTTGATACGTTCTTATTTACACTGACCTGTCTCAAAACAGATCAGGTTAGGTGACTTGATGTCTTCACTGCTTTTCCAGATATAAAACCTCTAATTCTAATTTTAATCTGAACTTAAAAGCAGTGGAGAATTTTAATATATGATCCAAAATGAACCAAGCGTTTACAGCACGTTGAGATTCTATTATTATTTGATTCTATTAAACTATTTGATTCTATTACTATTTGATTCGCGTATCAGCTTAGTCTGGTCTAGTTTACATCAGTTTACATCGTCATTTGTATCAATGGCTGCGTTCAGCAGACTCAACAG